AATTAACCAGAAATGCAGGGCCTAATGGACTAAACTGGATGTGAAATCAATTAACTAAAAGTATACAGTTAGTATTTTACTTATACACGCACAAACGGTACTCTTACATGACTATTCATTATTCACAACATCAAAATAACAGTTTGAGGTTAGCTCAGTTGTTTTCTAGTTTTAGAAATGAGATGATTTGAGTTATGACAAACAGGTGCGCCAACAACAGTTCTACCTATCAAAACGGTATCTTGACACACAGAATATGGTTATTCTGCCATAAGACTATATGTATTGGGATTTTGGGGGCCGCAGTCCTCGCCCAAGATATATGGGGAGTAAAATAGGTGGGCCAGACAGAGCGCGCCCCTCTCCCCCCTCGCCCATCGGGCCAAGGCGGTGACGTAACTGCAGTCCTCGAGCCGCTACTTACAGCCATCACACAACACTTTTAGATGTTATGTTGCGTTGTTTATGCCAGTTTGTACTACGCAATTGTTAAAATGAGTATTTCTTGGTTCCTAATTTATTAATATATCATTCTTTATTATATTTCTCCATTAATATTAGATCATTTGTTTATTAAATTAACTAGCAGTTACGCGGCGCGCGTTGCTGCGCTTATCAACTATTATTTTAAATAGTAATTTGTTCTTTACGACAAATAATAAAAGTGTATACCAAAAATAAAAATAGAATATTTTACTTAATTGCTAGTGGATAAACAATGTTTTTTTTTTTTACATTAGGTGTATAAATATACAAGCTTTCAGGCGTACCTACCATCACGTGAGCACGCAACATACAGCTGTCCGTGTGAAAAGCATGCATTTTCTAAATTTAAGCTGACGACAGTCAGGGATTGCCCTCGTGCATTGATGATGGATGAATGGATAATGGTGATTGCGAAAGCAAGACACAAAGGAAATTGTAGTTGCTTAAATTCAGAGGGTAATTCGGATGAAATCATCAGTATTCTTGGGATTAATACTATTTCTCCTTTAAACTTGTCACTGATAGTTTTTGCTTCAATCAATTTTGGTGTCATTTTTTAAATCGTCAGTCTGGTAACGTTGCACAGATAATATTTAAAAAATATTTAAGTTTCGCATTACTATTATTGGAGTTCCTTCTTTTACTGGCAGTAATGTGGTGGGTTAATAACCAATTGAGAGGCATTTGAATACCCGAGATAGCACGCACGATTATTTTTCGCTTAATAATTTATGTTAGATTGTGTGGGTATAGAACAAAAGATAAAAATATTAAGGCATTGCCATCCCTTTTATTGTTTATAATGCTTTGATAAAGGTTTTTATGTTTACATATTTAACATTGGAGAATTTAAATGTTAATGCACAGGTGTGCTGCAATTGGGGTTTAATATATTTGGACTTATTCAAAAGTAAAATATTTTTCTGTGCTGCACTCTGTAGAAACATTGTGGCACTATTTGATATCATGACTAATACAGAATGGTGTGATTATTCAAACCTACAAAACAGTTGGTTAAAGTAAACATCTGCTTTTAAAATATACTAGCCACCATACCCGTGCTTCGCAACGGGAAGTTAACGCTAAAGAGAATAATTATTATTCCATAGATCTGCTGTATGTAGATAAACTTTTAGTAATCCACTAAAAGTATTAACTTAAAATATTAACTGGCTACTTTCGTATGCCAGACATTATTTTTTGGGTAGTAAACCATACAAATAGGGTACAATAGATTTTTTTTATTTTTATAAACATTTTGGAAAAAAGAAAGTCAATACGTTAATGAATTACACACTTAAAAATTAAAACTCCTTATTTACACACTATCAAAAAATTATTTATTAAATTAAAAACATAAACATAAAACACAATCTTACTTTGACAGTTCTAATTTTGTATCACAGCTGCTTGGTTGGGATTAGAAACTAACTGTTGTCATAAATTTTGACAATTAATAGTGCTGCACCGCTGCACCCTTTTGGTAGATATTGTAACCTTTTAATGCTATTGATCATCACAGAATCAAATTTTTTAGTTGAAACAGGTGTTAAGATTCTTTAATTCTATTTAAATATGAGTACTCAATAAGGTTAACATGGGAAACTCCAGAGCCACTGGGGCGGAGCCCTTTTGACGGATCTGCACCAAACTTCACACAAACCATCCTTAAATAAATGCCTGAAAGATTCATTACAATCTGTCGAGCGGTTTTGTAGTCCATAACGGTCAAACACATATATATATATATATACATATAGCTCATACTGTGATCATGGCCTTAGTGCCGAAATACGTATCAGTTTAAATAAAAATGAATTTCAGGGTACTCTGGTTTTTATTATTTTGCTTATTAATATATATACATATATACAAACTTCCTCTTTTATAAATATAGATTTATTTGTAAACATTGTAGTTCAAAAAGTCTGACATTGGCCCACTTAAAACCCTCTGGGGCGGAGCCCTTTTGACGGATCTGCACCAAACTTTACACAAACCATCCTTGAAAGATCCTTGAATAGAATGCCTGAAAGTTTCATTACAATCTGTCGAGCGGTTTCGGAGTCTATAACGTATATACAGACGTATACATACATAGTTTCTCTTTTATACAGGGTGTCCCGGAACTCTCTACCAATATTTTAGGGCATTGCTCCTGGGTAAGAAACATACCTAAATATCATATTTAAATTGTCCGGAAGTCCTTAGTTACTCACACAGCCACCATTTTGTTTTTTTCAGTTATTAATTTTTTTCTAAAGAATGGTTAAACATACGAAATGGAAACTTTGCACAAACATTAATGACAACTAGACAAAGCTACAAAAAAATTATGACGATTTCTCAAATTCATAAAACAAAATGGCGGCCATTTAAAATTTTTATAAAATCAACGGTTTTTGAGCTATTTAAGAAACAACATTTTAAATGGTCGCCATTTTGTTTTATGAATTTGAAAAATCTTCATAATTTTTTTGTAGCTTTGTCTAGTTGTCATTAATGTTTGTGCAAAGTTTTCATTTCGTATGTTTAACCATTCTTTAGAAAAAAATTAATAACTGGAAAAAACAAAATGGTGGCTGTGTGAGTAACTAAGGACTTCCGGACAATTTAAATATGATATTTAGGTATGTTTCTTACCCAGGAGCAATGCCCTAAAATATTGGTAGAGAGTTCCGGGACACCCTGTAGATATAGATGTCCATTTCTGCAATCGTTGTTATAACGTTGAATAGATGTACTCTGATTCGGGAGATAGCATATAATTTTATGATGTATACATTTTTAGGATAGCCTACTTAAGTACAGTTGTTCATTAACATATTAGTAAGTTAATTAGATACCCTTTAGACTTAGAACTCTTCAAATTATTGGAATAAACAAACATTTTTTGCCATGCATTTACCAAATAAAGGCATTTTGGTAATGCACATTTATTAGATTAGTGTAATTAGGGATGGAACTTAATATTTTTATGAATAGAAAAAAACATTTGAAATAAAAACGCTTTGTTTACAAGGTAATGTATCACTCGCCATTGTAAATGTATAGCCATTGTATGTATGTAAAGTCATAAAATACATTACAGTATTAGAATTCTTAAAAATTTTTCCAATTTACTACTGACGTATCTTATTTATTTGTTATTTTTTCTTTGCCATTCATTTGTTGTTGTGTGCTTAAAAACTTCAATCTCATTAGACTCCCCTACTATTCTTCTTTGAGCAAATAGCTCAAGATGGTCTAGAGGTAAACAACCAACTTTATGGCTTAATGTTTTTACTTTCTTCACAGAGGCGGTTTTTTCATATCAGGGAGTTTAAAATATTTAATTTTCATTGTTTTTCAAATTCCTTTTCCAAAATCTCAAGTTTCATTTAACCTGCATTACGGTGTTTTATTTTTACAACGCAGCTTGCACAACTTTTCTAAATTTCCATTTTGTAGAACATTCTGCCTCATTGACAATACAGTAGAAAAGGAAGAAAAGAAAAATGAATAAGGATTGCTTTTTATTTATAACCAACATCAAAAAGCAGTTGAAGTAATTTCTAACAGGCAACTTTTTTACCTAGTGCTAAAACATATATTTTATTAACTAACCAGTAAAAAGGGCAGGGTTATATATATTTTTCTAAAATGATTCTGAAGTGTTTATTATTATTCTGACTGTATTGGTAGACGCCCGCATTTCATAATTTCTATGCAACATACAGGCCTAATTGGCTATTTATTATTGTCAAACTGGCCACAATTAATTTTAATTCAAAATCATAAAAAAAATTATTTAGTAGACAAAGATATTTGTATCATAACGTGAAAACCTCCATATCAGCTTAGATCGTGTCTGAATAAGTATGGTGCCGGGACTACAGTGACAACATAACGTGCAGTCCGCTCTGTCTGGCCCACCTCTTTTACTCCATACATCTTGGTCCTTACTAAGCTAACTGAAGAGGAGAATATTAAAATTTAATTTATTTATGAATTGCTGGAAGAGCGGCGTCCGAGAGTCCTTATGGGCTAGCCGCCACTGGGGCTCTCCAGTCATTGTCTAGAAGTTTATCAATAAAGAATAACTTTTCAACCTCTATTCTAGTCGTTCAATGTGTCATTAGACGTCGCATTACATCTATTAATGTGACATTTCCCTCTGAAAACACCAGGTAAACTGAAGTCTTCTTAAAATAGTCTCAATACCGTCTGAACTTAATCCCCCATACCCATTTGGCCTGTTACACTATGTCACACCCTAATTAAAAACCGTAGGAGCATCATCAGTTATGTTATAATTTATAATAAATACTTTTAAAGTTTTAAATGAGCAATTCAAGCAACTTTTTGAATTACAGATCTCTTGGAATCTTTTAAACTCCTCATCCATCATAATTATCTAATACACCTCAATACTAATTTGTAAACACATAATTGACCTATTAATCTAATATTGGTAAAAAAAATGTTTTTGTGGTTTGTTAGTAATAAATTATTTACTGCAATTTCTTTTTTAGTTTGTAGCAACTCCGACAACTGAATCAAAAAAGCGATGGAAAAGGTACATTGATGAGTTCCCTAGTAAACCACCATCACCTTCGTCCTCACCCAGGAACCCACGAAGACAAAGCACAGTAAGTGATAAATATTACTTTGTGATGTGTCTATAGTGATACCTGAAAAATCAATTATAGATATCAATATGCATTTTTACTTTCTCCGCCTATACCATAGTATATGGAGAAAGTAGGTAGGGCCTATTGTTTTCGTCAAAATTTTCGAAGTTGAGTTTTGAGTGGATATACCTGTTTTGGGCCACCCTGAACTCAAAAAAGTGGTTTTCAAAGTTATTCATAAGTTATTGTAATTCATGTTATTTTCCCATAAAAAAGGAAAATCAGATTTTAGGAAAAACCTGGTTTTGATTAAAATGTGTTATGGTCCTTATAATTATAAAACAAATAGTGCAATCCCTATTGCTGAAACAATTGAAGAGTTGGGTGAATGAAGGGGCAAGTAACAATTTAATAAAAATTGAGTTAGATGCATGGATGAAGGGTGTAAGTGATGCTCTCCTATAGTCCTAAGTAAAATAACAGCTGAGCTTTTTTTTATTTAGGGGTTAAGTACAGCAAATGCACGCAAATGGAGTGTATAAAGGTGGTGAGTGCTTTACTTGCCCTTTTCATACACTTAAAGTGCACGTACCCCAGTGCTTACCCTCTTATAGCCCAATCACTTTATGTGAGAACCTAGACACGAAGGATATAAAGCAGATTTTTTGCATGGTGATAGTATATAATAGGAAGGGTGTTTTCTGAAAGTTCCCCGAATTTCTCCCCCCCCTTGCTTCCCCTTAACCCCCCCCCCTTCCCCCAAACACCAGGTTGAAAGTGTAGTGTTTTACTAAATCACCTATATCTTTTGATGAAGGCTAGCATAAAATCATCAAACGTAGTGATTGTTTTTTCTATGAACTCCCTCCCTTTTGCCTGCAGCCCTTTTGACTGCTTATTTTGAGTATATCCAAGAAGTGCATGGTACCAATTTGTAGGAAATTTTATTCTCTTTCAGAATATCAACTTCCACTCTGGTCGATTTCCTCACCATTTAAAAGTTATTTGCAAAAAAGCTAAGCAACCTCTGAATTTATAGTAATTTAACAGGGAGTTCAAAGAAAAAACAATTTATGCTGATAGCTCGTTTATACCAAAAGATATAGGATAGGTGATTTAGTAAAACACTACCCTTTCAATCTGGTGTTTGGGGGGAGGGGGGGTTTTAAGGGGAAGCAAGGGGGGGGGAAATTCGGGGAACTTTAAGAAAACACCCTTCCTATCATACACTATCACCATGCAAAAATCAGCTTTACATCTTTCATGTCTTTGTTGGCCTCGATTTTTAACTTAAGTTAAAGTTGGCTATTATTGTTATGTACTAGTAGCATACGTACTGCAGCTTATAGTCCAGGAATTTTAGGGATAAAACTGCCATTCGACCTAACAAATTCGGACTAAGTGGAAACTTTGCACACTTGTTTAGTAAGCCTAAATAAATAAAATATCAAAAGTCCCCATAAATCCCGGCTGTGCTTCAGCCGCCATCTTGGAAAATGGCGGCCAATTTTCACTTTTTTGACAATATTTCACAAATTATTGGTATTAGAGGTTTTTTGTAAATACAAAAGTTAAAGATTGTCTAAAAATACATATTTTATATATTACAAGTAGTGATGTAAAATACCCAGGTATTTAAAACTCGGGGTAAATACAGTCCAACCTCAGTATAACGAATCTGAAGGGACCGAACTGAATATTCGTTATATCAAGGATTTCGTTAAAATGAAGTTCGTTATATAGAGGTTAGGTTTGCAGGAATTTCGCTAAGTCGAGGTTCAGAACCAGCGTCGGTCAATATAGGCCGGGATTTGACCTCATTAAAACACAATTAAAGAAGCATAGGCTACAATACTTTACAGTACAGTGTTCATTGTACAGTAGAACCTTCTGTATCCAATAGTCAATGGTAGAACCTAAATTATCCGGCATAATAAAGGTGAGGCAGGGTGTTCACATTCTGGAAAGTCAGGGAAAGTCATGGAAAAAAATTCTGGTCATTGAAAGTCATGGAAATAGGCAAAAAGTCATGGAAAGTCATGGAAATCCCCAATGATGGATGGATTTGACGGGACTTAATGCTCTAGTCGGCTGTAACACCGTCTATTGTAGCTTCAGAATTTTTCATAAATTCACAACACTTCACAACAATTTATTACAGTGTTTGTATTAGTTGATGAGAGTTTTGAGTTTGTAATAGTTCAATACAATCTGTACCTACTTTATCTTATAATTTAATTTGATATTTGTAGGATATTGTTGCAACAGTAGTGTACAGTATATTAAAATGTTACAACTTGATTATTACAACTCAAATTGCAATACATATATTGTTATAATGTTTTGATTTGTCTTAAGTTATATCTTTTTTGGTAAGCTAATTTTTGGAATCACTGTAAACTCAATAAAAAATTAATAATAAAAAGCATACAGTAAGGAAAAAATAAAGTGGAGAGTGAACTTGGCCAGCTATGGGGGCGGAGTAGACTGGGTTTTCTTTTTTCCTTCCATATTTTGAATACCATATTTTTACAAAATGTATTACTCCATTGTTATCTGTTAATACATATTTCAGTAATTTCTGTGAAATAACATGTCTAGACAGTATTTTGTGTGTGTATGTTACATTATAATTTTCAAGTTAAGTTCGTGAGTCATGGGAATCAACGGTAAATGGTCATGGATAGTCATGGAAAGTCATGGAAATCAATGGCAAATTTTCAGTGGACACCCTGTGAGGGATCTTGAATATTGCGCAATCATGACAATGGTTGACCTTGGTACAGGTTAAAAACTGTAAGTTTAAAATCACAGCTTGTTTTAACCCTCCTAAAACTTCTAAAACCTAGCCAAACACTGCATTGCGTAGTCATAAACCATGTAAAAAACAAAACAAATCAGTAGAAAGTTTTATAAGCTACTGACTGTTCCGTGATAGGCCGGTAGGCTACTTACAGTACAGTAACGTACTGATTTATCACAACAGAGGAATGTCAATAATAATCATTAACTATAGCATTGATATAGTGATATAGGATGTAGGAGGATTGATATAGTGGTTTTTTGGTGTTGCTAGTTGAAACAAATCGTATTGAAAGCAATAAATTATTAGATAAGTCATTATTAAAGTGCATATTCATAGCCAACTTAAAGATAATAAAAACACTCGTAAATTAAGGAATGTTAAAATAACGATGTTGCTATTCTTTCTCTTTGCTTTTGTTTTTATATTCTTTCTTAGATTTCTCTTTATCCAAAAATTGTACAATTCGCCATATTTACTTATCACCCAATCACAGCTTAACTACAGATTACGTCGTCATCAGTCCTCAGTGAATGAAATCAGTTCTCAGTTGCAACATTGCGTGCGCAGCGACAGCAGACAGAGAGATGTGTAAAACGGAGCAGACGAATGTGAGCGCAAGCGATGACGTCACCTTTCCATTTCATTTGATAAAGAAACAGATTTTCTAAAAACAATACTGGGGTGGGGGATTTGTTATATCAAGGGAAAGACGTAGACAATTCGTTATGCAGAGGTTAAATTCGCAATGTAGAGGTTCTGACAATGATAAATTCGTTATATTGAGGTGTCTTATATTAGCCTAAATCACGAAAAATTTGTTAAATCAAGGTCGTTGTTATGGTTTGTTCGTTAGGTAGAGGTAAAATATACATAGTCTCTTATGGAGAGTTCTAGGGGATTAAAAAAAATTTGTTATATCAAGGAATTCGTTATATCGAGGTTCGTTATATCAAGGTTAGACTGTACCCAAAATCCATAAATACCCGGGTATTTAGGGTAGCCTATTTATGAAATCGATTGAAATTCATTTATATTTACCCCTAAATATGTTATTGTTATCATTACATGATAAATTAGGATAGTCTATAACACCTTTTACAAACTTGAAGCTTTGCTAGTACCTTTTATTTAATTATTTAGCACTTTTTTTAAATAATACATAAAGTTTATAAATAAGTATGGGATTTTGTGTCTTAAATCGAGTAACATCAGTTAAGTTTAATTTTTATCATTTTATAAATTTATAACCAATTAAATAACATAAACAAAATTATTTAAATTTATAAATATCTAGGATCCTGATTGACATAGGCAGAATGGCAGAATACTAAAAGCAATTAAACTAACCTTTTGAATCGTATCGTTGCTTCTAATCGAAAATCTTTTACTGCTTCGCACACCCCTATAAACAACAAAATTAAAATAAAGTAAGTATATTATTTCATTTAAAAATATAAAGGCTAGCGTGGTTCTACTTCCCTACATTGTAAAGGTAATTTTTGCCTTCATGCAAAACTAAATGGATTATTACATTCTTGGAACTGGCTTATGAATATGATTAATATAAACAAACACCTTTGTTTCAGCCTATCTCAGAATTAAAAAGAAGAGCATTTGCCCTAGCTTTAGAGACTTCTGAGGAGAACGTCAACCCTAACTATTCAATAGAGGTTAGTTTTATCAATAAATAAAACTAGGGTGTGTTGCTAGCCTAGTGGTTAGCGTCTCAGACTTTGATGCGGGAGGGACGCCCACGGGTTCCTGCAGACCTGCAGACTAAGCGAATTTCCATTTCCCTGATTGGATTTACACTAAAATTTCTCCTTAAAAATATCACATTCATTCCTTACTTAAATAATTACTTTAACGAGTAGGGCCTACTTAGGTTTACTGCACCAGGGAGGGTAAAAGTCTTTTTTTTTTTTTTTTTTTTTTTGTAAAATGGTAATAGTCTAGTAAGAAATAAATGCATTTTCCAAACTTGATCAAAATATGTTCATAAACAAGCAAACTACAACTGTTTACTTATTCTCCATAAGAATAACATGGGAATTTTAGAATTTTTAGTTTTTTTGGAATTTTCTCCCTAACCTTTAGGCGCATAATAACGCTTCAATACACTAAAGTATTTATTTTTTCAGCTCTACAAAATGGTTTGGAAAGAAATAGCTATATTTTATGTTTTTTAGGTCAAAAATGGGAAAACCCAATTTTTACCCCATAAAACCCCCCATAAACCCCCGTTCCCATAGTCCGATCATGCTGGTTCGCGAACTCGTTAGAATAAATGTAGGTTCACACCTTTATACCGAATTTCATTAAAATCGGATCATTTTTGCTCGAGTTATCGTGTTAACGGACATGTATATATATATATATATCTGTCTCTCCCCCCTACAACGGTTCGGCGCGCGGTCGGGCTGGCTTCAACGAAACTCAAGCGCGTCCCCTCCTTAATGTTTAATCCTCCTAGGTGCCATCGCATAAAACAAAAGAAACTGGATAAAAAAATATTGTTCCTTCGATATTGATATCGTCCACTTATTAAATAATATCCTGTTATTTAGTTTCAGTAAAATAACGGCCTTAAAAATCACAACAAATTGTGTAACTGCTGTACTGTAAGTTGACTTGTATATTCATTGAACCTTTAAACACGTGTTTTGCTGTGAAACACTAATTTTTAAACCACAAAAACAGAGCAACCTACGTTTTTATCTTTTCAACAAATGTAATAAATCCTCAAAGCAACTATCTCCATTAATTTCATTTTGAGTATAACCAGCTGTTTCAAATATTAGTGTAAATTTGTAAATTATTCATCTGATCAAATGTAAACAAACATTTTTGCCATAAGAATAACATTAGAATTTTGAAGGGCACTGGGACAGGGCCCCAGTGGAATTTAAAAGATTTTTGGTTTAATGGCTAATCTACAGGCCATGACCAATCCTATAACGTCTTAAACATAGTCATCAGATGCATGGCAGCTTCAAAACAATTATCACAAAATTCATGATGGCCTAGGCCTATATATTAGTGATGGGCGGATCCAAGAAAATGTCGGTACTGGATCCGAATCCGGATCTTGAAAAAATCGGATCCGGATCCTCGGATTCGGATCTTCGGATCCAAATACAGATACGTTTTTCTTTTTTCAAGGGCGGGTTTTTTAAATAAAATAATTCATATGGCTAGGCAATGTCAAAGACTAACTGTGTCCATATGTCGTTATTGAAAACAAAGTTATCACAATTCTACGTTGCGCAATGATTATCTGATTATCGATCGTAATTTTGAGGGGATACGAAAGAGACATACTACCACCTATCGCGTTGTCTTTCTAACACAGCTATTCGTATTGTAATCTACAACGCAGTGCGAGTGCGTGATTGGCTAAGTCGCTATGACGACACACGGTTGCCATGGCAACCTACAGTGCGCACTGAGCACTGCGCCTTGTGTGTGAGGGGAGATTATACCAACAAACTATTTCAGGAATTCCATTTTGGGACGGATGAAAGATAAGGAAGAAACAAAAAGTGGTCACGTGTGCAGATGTAGTGGGCGAGACAATAAGGCTATAAACGAGTATTCGAGTATTGTCGCGTCGTTGTTCCTTGTTTGTTTACTTTTTCAGATTCCCTATCAAACGCCCCTATCTGCTATCTCTCTCTCTCCCCCCCTCTCTATCTCTAACGATGTACTGATTAAACAGATTGTGGTTGACGACTTTTCTACTTAAGATTCCCTGCGGTTATTTTAGTTCAATCAATCCCATAACCTTTCTATCGTTTATCAAAATAATTAATTAATCTGTTTTGTATTTTATTTCCTTTAAACCAACCTCTATTTACCATCTGTATTTTATAGAATAAAATGTTTGTTTATAAAGTTTGACTGGCCACACAATTTTGTACCTATTTTATTTTGTATAAAGTAACAGTTACTTTGATTATTATATATCTTCTAATATATAAAATTCTCGTGTCACAGTGTTTGTCTGCAAACTCCTCCGGAACGACTTCACCGATCGTTATGAAATTTGGTGTGTAAATTCTGTAGGTATGCGAATCGGACGTAAACTATTTCCCGTTTCGAAATTCTTAAAAGGGCTCCGCCCCAGTGGCTCTGGAGTTTCCCATGTTAACCTTATGAGAAATGGAATTAATGAATCTTAACAGCTGTTTCAATTAAACAAGTTGGTTCTGTTCTATTATTAAGGAAATTGACAGGAAAGCAGGCTTACCTTTAAATAAGTCCATAGAGACACATAAAACATCACAAAATTAAAAGTAGAAATTTTCGTGGTCACTGACCACTTTTTCAACCACTGGAGATTGGAGAAATGGCAATGGCAGTTGCAATTTGAATCTATTACACCTTATCAGGGTTGCCAACACAGATGAAGAGACTAAATTTGTTTTTACTGTTGCATATGTATGAATGTGTGATTTTAATAGCTGCTACTCTTCAAAAATAATAAAACAACTGCCTCCAAACTGCAACCCCTCAGAACTGAGAAGATGGGAACTAAGCTACCAATGGTTCACCCATTCTAGAAACCCACCTAACCTTAATCTAAGATAAACCCCATTCCTCACCTTCCATATCAGGCTAGTGTATATAAAAAATGTTAATATGTGTGTGTACATATGTGTAAATACAGAACAGTGTAAATATAGTGGATTATTCATAATAAGAGAACACATTCATACATATGCAACAGTAAAAACAATTTTTAGTAAATGCCCTATCTTTTTATAAGATGGTTCTGTTCTATGATGTTCAATAGCATTAAAGTTACAAGGATTACCAACAGGGTGCAGCACTATTATTTCTTTTACATTTATGACAACAGCTAATTTGCAACCAAAAGGTGAGTGAGCGTAGCGAACGAACTTCAACCTGGAGGCGAGTTAGCGTAGCGAACGAGCTAACCTGAAGGCAAGTGAGCGCAGCGAACGAGTTCCAACCTAAAGGTGAGTGAGCGTAGCGAACGAGCTCCAACCCAAAGGTGAGTGAGCGTAGCGAACGAACTTCTACCTGGAGGCGAGTTAGCGTAGCGAACGAGCTAACCTGAAGGCAAGTGAGCGCAGCGAACGAGCTCCAACCTAAAGGTGAGTGAGCGTAGCGAACGAGCTCCAACCCAAAGGTGAGTGAGTGTAGCGAACGAACTTCAACCAGGACGTGATTGAGCGATGCGAACAAGATCATCTTGAAAATTAAACGTAACGGTACTTTCTTTCCATCGGTCTGTCTTAGGGGAAACCTATAACTTAGGCGATACGAAGTTCGCCGGGTCAGCTAGTATATATATATATAAGTGATGCGTGCTGTAATGAATGCTTTTTATTATCAAAATAAGTAATGAATTATTAATTTTTGATAATACATGGGTCATTGAATACTATAATGTCATGTAGTTTCCTATTTGTAACTTGCAAATAATAATAATTGATGGTTAATTCTGGAAAATGAAAAATAGTGAACGCATTCATAAACCTGTTGTCAAAACAGCAACGCGGGTGTAAAGGTCCATTTCCTATCCTGCGACTGTTACGACTCTAGCCGCGCGTCTAGAGCCGTACGGCTGGCGACTCCTACGACTCCCACGACTAGTGACTTAATAATAATAATAATATTAAATCTTTATTGTCGTTTGGTAATATAAACATTACAATAGACAAGGTCAATATGTTTTGTTACATATGTTATATAAAATATTAAATATTCTACAGAAAATGTTAAAATAAAGTTAAAAGAATCTTAAAAGGATAAAGCATCAGTAATAATAAAAACTTTAAAATTAACAGGGAAAAGACCATAACAAGAACAAAAAATCATCAAGACTGCTTGGCCTCACATTTAAGCGTTGAAAAATCTTCATTCTGCAAAAACTCATCAACTGAATAAAACGCACGACTTGTAAGCCAATCTGATAATTTGACCTATACAAATGAATACTTTCCTGATTTCTAAAATATATTGGAAGTTTATTAAATAGTTTTATTTGCAAATATTTATAACTTTTGATAAATTTTGATAGCCTGGCTTGAGGAATATATAAATCTTTTGATTGTCTGGTGATATACCCATGGATTGAGTTGCAAAACAACATAACCAAACATTGCCATACAGCAAGTGTGATTGAAATAAACTGTGGTAAACAATTAGAAGTGTTGGTTTAGAAACACAATTTTTAAGTTTTCTTATCAAACAACATACTCTTGACAATTTTGAAATGATATTATTGGTATGTATTTCCCAAGTGAGTTTAGAGTCTATGGATATTCCGAGTAGTTTGACAGAAACTGCATTGTCTGCTTCAAGATTACGCAAAGTAAAACAAATTTTTTCTATTTTATCATGATTTATTCCCAGAAAATTACTTTCAAACCACAGCTTACCCAATTCAATGGCGTTTTCTATACTTTGGTTTGCAGAGTAAAAGTTGTCAGCTGATGAGATGAAGGTTGTGTCGTCAGCATATAAAATTGTTTTGCAAGGTATGGAGTTTGGCAAAACATTAATATAGAGAATAAACAAAACCGGACCCAGTACTGACCCTTGAGGAACCCCAGCAAGGACCTCCTTAAAATTTGACCTATGTTTAAGGAGGTCCTTGCTGGGGTTCCTCAAGGGTCGGTACTGGGTCCGGTTTTGTTTACTCATTGTTTATTTATTTTGTTGACTTGTGAAATTGCACTACTGACCGTCATGGAATAAGCACAGTTGGCAGCGAATATATTACTTGGAGAAAGGGAGGAAAAGGAATTATTAATGTGCATGGTAAAAAACGATGAACAACCTAATCCATTGTTCATGGTACGGTGAAAATAGCGGTTTCAGAGTATTCTTATTCAGAGACATCTTCTTCAAGTATTGGGGGTGAACGTATGGGTGGTGACGAACCAGTTCCATTAACTTTGAATCATCTATGAAGGTACACACCTCAAACTTCGTATGTATAAACTATAAATTCGTTACAGCCGCGCTTGAGTCGCTTCAGTCGCGCGGCTGTAGACGCTTGATAGGAAACGGTTGCATTTACTTTGCATTAAAGCAGTCATTTATTTCAGCCGACTAGAGTCGTAACAGTCGCAGGATAGGAAATGGACCTTAATGGTTTATTGTTTCAGAGGCTAGGGTGTTTCAAGGACAAAGTGTTGGGCCTCTCGGCTCAGGGGGGGAGGGGTGGTGGTGAGACTGAGAGAAAATAGGGGGAGGAAACTGGTTTTGGCTATTTATTGATTAGTTCACCGACCCTTCTAGACAACAAAATTGAGTACAGTGACAGTGTTAAATCACCGTGTTCTGTATTTCATTTCTTGTTTTAGTTTACTTTGTGTGTTATTCTATTAATTTTAGTGTTTTGTTCTATTTCCTCCTGGTCCCTTGCAAATTGTATTATCAATGCTAAATAATTGTGGTCAATTCAAATTATATTTTTGATTATTCAAATCTCCTACACAAAAAGACAAAAGTCAAACCAGGCAAGGAAAAAACCTGCTATTGTAATCCCCGTACCCAGCCATTTGGGAAGTGGTGAAAGTCGAGTCTAAATAGCTCAAATGTCTCACCCTTCCCTTCCCCTCCCCCTTCCAACCCCCTACTCAATGTTACTATTCTGCTCATTTCGAGGTCATTGCACAACGCCTCCTTCCCTTCTATTGTTTTGCCTTTATAGTGTTTCTATTCTGACTTTTATAAACATAAATTTATTGCTTACGTAACAGTTCAGTTGTGGAATTTTCTATTGTGAAACAGTAGGCCTACTTTAAAACAAAATCACTACCGATCATGCCATTCTATTCTGTGTCAAGTCAGTATACCATTGCCATTCAGTCGCCGGCGACTGCTTTGAGTTGACCTATTCTGTCGTGACAGCTATAAAATTAGGTTAGGACAACCACCTCTTGCTTATTTCTATATTTGTATGACTGTAGAATCTACAGTAATACAAATTATCCATCATTTTATGTAAACACAAGTTACATTTCAACAAATATTAATTTTTTACAATTTTAAACCAAACTAGCGAGTTCAAAGATAAGCTCGAGTTCCAAGGCCGTACACTACTCGAACTCAAAATCTCGCCCATTTTGTGTTAATAGTATAAAAAAAAATCGGATCCATTAAAACCGGATCCAGCCCAAGATCCGGTTTTTTGTGGATCCGATCGGGTGTCGGTTCTAGCTCAGATCCGGCAGTCCGATATCCGGATCCGACCATCACTACTATATATATATATATATAGATTAATACAAAGTTTCTTCCAGGAAATGGAAGAGGAACCTGAAAGTGCACCAAACCAACCTTCAGTAAATGCATCAATGGTAAGTTGTGGAGGTTTTAAATCAAAGGCTTGTTTCACATCTACTCGGCTGTCGGGTGCCGGGTGTCGTTTAAACAGCAATGGGGTGAAGAAGTATATGGGACCGTTCACATATGCAGGAGATGTGTCGTGGTCGGTTAATCACTGACCCGGCTGCCGTGTACTAGTCGAGGGATGCTGGGTGGCCCTCGGCACATTATGATTTAATGTGTGATTTTCTCAATTGGTGTTAACTGGTGAACACCCCCATTACAATACCAGAAACAAAACCAACATTGCTTTAAACCGCCACAGATTAGAACTTTACAGTAATAAACCAAGTTATACTGACTCCAAATTTTACAACAAAATTCCAAATGAAATTAAATCTGCAAAAAGCATGGTGGGATTTAAGAGGGGTCTTAAAATATTTTTCATCAACAAGGTATTGTATTCCCTTGATGAACTGTAGAATTCTAGAAGGAAAGTAAATTTTTAACTAAATCAATAAATAGAATCAACCTTCGTCAATCAGCTCATTGTAGTATTTACATTGTTACGGCTGTTTCAGCATCTTTGTGCCATCATCAGACGTTAAGCCTTAGTGGCGTCGTTAATATACAAAAACACAAACTGTCACATGCGACAGTTTACACATATACAGTAGCGGCTAGCCCATAAGGACTCTCGGACGCCGCCCTCCCAACAATACAGAAATCAATATTTTTTGTATTTATGTAATAAAAAAATAATCTATCGTTAGTTAAATTAAATTACAATTACTTACGAGTACTTTAATCAATATGATAATAATATGAAATAAAATAGTTTTAAATTTTGAATCCAGTAATGGCTGTTTTGCGATAGTCGCTTTCATAATGTGCATTGCGGACGGCGGCCTCCTCCGTCCCAAACTCAATGCATGTAGTCTTATGGTAGAAACACCTAACAGCGCTGAGGGTGCCATGACGTCATTCCAATGCTTTACAATAGGGACTCTGGGGCAGAGTCCAAAGCTGCGCGCGCATTCATAAATCAGGGCAGCCACCCTAAGCTGGATAATTCTGCATCACACACGATTAGGATAGGAAGAACCATGTTGGCAGCGCTGGAGCCATCATCCACACTGTCACTACCATAAACACAAACTAACCTCACTTCTTTCCAAGTCCATGACCACAGTTCAGTTAAAGTTTAGTGCCAAACGACCTGTTGTTTTGTGGTAAATAGTGTTTAGTGATAGTGATGGAGGCCTAAGGAAGGCAGCGGGTCTGTAGTTTTAGTATAGGCTAACCTAATTAACCCGAAAACTAAGTAAACTAACCATAGGTAAAGTGACTCGGACAATTTTAGTTATAGTTATTTATTCTTAGTCTTAATATTACAGGTAAATTTGCCGTGGGTTGTAGGCCTAAATAATAATGGACGACGGCATTTCGTTGTCGTCGACGGCTAACGTCACTAACGAAGTTAGCCTGATTATCAATGAAGGGATCAAAAATATTGACCACAGAATTTCTTTGAAAAAATTAGTCTTACCCTCATGGTTTGGTTTTCTATTCGTTATTGCCGTGGAAATGAAATGAAAAATCCTTTATTTTTTCAGGCAAAGTTAGGGCCACATGGCCCTTTCTTACACTTAACCTGACATTAAAAATATAACATAAATAATGTAACATAGGGATAACTTAATCTAATTAAACATAAAATATTTAACAATTCAAGTACCTACATATCTAAAAAAAACATAAAAATTTAACAAATAGAAAAACACATTCACACACTCTCGCATACACGCTTCAGCAAACGCGCAAGGTAACAGTAGCCCTAGGACACGCCAGCCGAGACCATCTTCTCAAAATAGAGCTTTTTCAGTGCCGCCACAAACTGGGAACGTTTTTCAAGGGTCTTAATATGTAGGGGTAGGCCGTTCCACAGACGACAAGCGGTAACAACAAAAGCCCTGCCATAAGCTGTGGTCACATGATGAGGTATACGCAATGTAATCGAAGAATAACGAGACATTCGTGAACTACCCTGAGACACAAATTTTAAATCGGATTTGAAATATTTTGGGGAGCCTGTTTTCAAAATTGAAAAAACCAATGACAAAATTTTAATGAATCTTTGATCATTTAATTTCAGGATGTGTGCCTCAAGGTAGTATGGCGTGATATGCTCCATACGTCGCAGACCATAGACAAATCTCAAACAATAATTCTGTGACCGCTGGAGCATACCCGCCTGAGTCGCAGTCAAGTCATTGATCAATGAGTTGCAGTAACTGAAGTGGGGTAGTACAAGTGATTTGATCAAATGTAGTTTAGTGTGTTGTGGTAAAAAATTCTGTAATCTTTTCAATGAATGTATGGAGGCAAAAACCTTTTTTCGTGTGTCCGTAACTGCTATGTCCCAAGTAAGTGAAGAGTTGAAAGATATACCAAGATTCTTGACATTGTCGTAGTATGGAAGTGCTTTGCCATTAACTGTGATTGGGTTTATGGAGTCTAAGTCAATTGAAGGTCGAAGTCGAGAATGGCTAATGACAATCGGTTTCGTCTTTTCGTGATTTAGTCTCAGTCCATGATTCTCAGTCCAAGTAACAATTCGGTTGACATCTTCATTGATCCTTCTGACACAGTCGTTTTCGTTGTTTGCAGTAAAATGGTCATAGATTTGTAAGTCGTCAGCGTACATGTGGTGTTTACAGTTGACCAAGGTCGAGTTTATGTCATTGACGTACAGTACGAAGAGCAGAGGCCCAAGGATTGACCCTTGAGGCACACCGCATGTAACAGTCACCCAGTCTGATCTCGTGTCACCAATCTCCACACATTGCTGCCTATCTGACAGATAAGATCTCAGCCATTTAAGAGAATTCTGGGAAAACCCTATGGCCCGTAATTTCTGAACCAGCAGGTCATGATTAACACAGTCAAATGCTTTAGAAAAATCAAATAGAGTTAGAATCGTTCCTTGTCGACGCTCCATAGCAAGTTTTATGTCTTCAGTCACTCGAAGGAGTGCTGTCTCTGTACTGTGTGCTGTCCTAAAACCAGATTGATAGTCAGATAAAATGTTGTTTTCTGTGATGAATTCAGTGATTTGACAGTGAACGATTCTTTCTAGGCCTTTAGATAGAGCGGGCAAAATACTTATCGGCCTGAAATCCCCAACCAAGGTTGGGGCTGAGATCTTTTTTAGGGGACGGATAATGGCAGACTTCCAAGAAGAAGGGAAAGAATGGTGCCTTAAAGATGCATTAAAAATGAACGTGATAATTGGAAGGATGGCATAGAGGATGTCTTTGATGAAACGAATAGGGATACCATCAGAACCGACAGCATTGCTTCGGATTCTGCGGATAGCCATCTAAACATCGGACTGAATAACTGGTTTAAAATTAAACTCAGGATATCTCAGGTGTGGGGTAGGAGAGTTAACTAGTTCATTTAAGTAACTGTCAACTTGATGCTGGTTGGTATTTTGACTGCAAGAAGAAAAGTAAACGTTTAATTCATTTAGAGGAATGTGTACCGGTTGAGAATCAAATTGGTGGATGTTTATCTAAACATTCAATTATTGTCAGGCCTTACCGTTTGGTTATCTACTCCTTATTGCCGTGGATTTTTTACTATTAAATTATTAATTGTTAGTTATATTTTCAATACAGTGTAGACCCGTTTTATAAGGCCGTAGGCAGGGGAGGGGATTAGAGGGCCAAACCCCTCTCCTAAAATTCCGAAATTGAGCAGTAAAAATTAAAACTAGGTTTAAAAAGTGCAAGTTAAATTATAAAATAGAAACCACAATAGAGGATTAATTGTTATGTTTTGAGTTTAGTTATGAATTTAGTTATGAATTAAGCTATTCACATTTAATATAGGCCTAGTTCTATTAGGATAATAAATCTGATCTAGACCTATTAAATAAATTGGTAAAAACTATTTAAAAAACATACTTCTCTACTCTACTTATGTCTACTTGCTCATGACAAACAACAGGTGAAATGGGAGTTTTTGGACTATTATTGGACACAGTTTTAGGCGTTAAAAATTGCTTTAGAAAGTCACCAAACGGCTTTAAAAATGTAAAATTTTAAAGCGGACCACCCTCTTCTATAGGGGGATGCTCCACACCCCCCAAACCTCCCGGAGCCCCCCCCCTTGACAAGGTCCTAGAGCCGCCACTGCACATATATAAACATAAATGGGGGATTTTAACTAAACAGGCCTGTTGAATACACATATCCGCACTCGAGCAAGTAGCTGACTGGAGTCAATCTTGCGGTGTCGTCTCAGCGGCGGCATTATCATTTGTACTTTGCCCTCTTGGTCTTGAATCCTTCCTTGAATAATGGTTTAAAATTCTATTGAAAATTATGTGTGACTTGAATTGTAGTTTATCATTTAAAATAAGTTCGCTATTGTCATTTTTTATTTGTGTTTTGTAAATTTCAAATTCTTCCAGGGTGTCAAATTTATTGCCTTTTGTACATGTATGAAGGATTTCCAAACCAGTCTTGTGGTCATTTTGGTCGTGATTATTGTCCATAAGAAGTTGGGCAAATGTTGACTTTTGTTTGTCCGCTTTCGGTTTCGGATGATGCTCCTTATATCTAGTTTTAAAAGTGTGCCCCGTTTTTCCAACATAAACACTAGGATAACTAGCACATTTAATTCTGTATACCCCTGACTTGTCACCCTTATCAATAACCTTTCTCGTAACATTAAGTTTGTTTATAGTCTTGTTATTTGTCCTAAAAGTTAACTCTACACCGTGTCCCTTTAATTCTTTGTCCAATACATTTTTTAATGAATGGGAATATTCCACACATACATACTTTTTATCTCGCGGCACTTCATTATTTTTATTCCTATTTTATACATAACAATGTAAATACTATACTACAATGAGCTGATTGACGAAGGTAATTCTATTTATTAATTTAGTCACAAGATCAGCTCAGGGGCTAAAAAATATGGATTTTAAAAAATTTTCAATTTGTGTAATTTTTGTGTGTTAGATTTTAAGAACTTTGTAATTATTTACAGAATGTAAGAACATTGTAAAAACAACATGTAAGAGAATGACACTATTCATGTACTTTAGTGCTTTAATGAATAAAGAAATATTGAATTGAATTTTGCAATGACTAATAATACTGGAAGGATATTATCATTAATTTGATGTTTTAAAACTTTAATTTAAATGCCATTCCATAGCGTAAATCTTAAACTTAAAAATGTTAAGTGATTTTTCTATATCTTTTCAGACCAGAGAAACAACTACTCCAAGAACATCTGCTGTGCAATGCAAAAAGGTAATTTGATCAAACCATGATAATATTATAATATTAATTTAATCTTAAACTAAAAATATATTGTTATAGTCTAAAATGCACTTTGTTTGAATCATGTATACAATATGTAAATTTATACAACTACCAGCATCATTGCCTTACTTTGTATGTTTCTGTTGATTTATTACTTGGACATAATAGGTTCCGCCTAATTCGAATTCATATGAAATGTTTGTTCGTTAAGTTTATTTCTTGTAGGGGTCTGCGGTGCACTTTAAAAGTCGGTAACGTATGGTTCTGGCTTAGTTACCGCCATTGGTTCGGTTACTGCATTTTACCACAGAAAACATACTACTAAAACCCAGAATGCCAACCGCATAGTATAAATCAAGTACTTTTAGAGAGCTTTGCCTGTCAGTTCATAGGCAGCGCCACTAGCGTTGCTATGCACTCAGCATAGCAACGCTGGTGGCGCTGCCTACGAATTGACAGGCAAAGCTCTCTCAAAGTACTTAACGCTTCTTACTATGCGGTTGGCATTCTGGGTTATAGTAGTATGTTTTCTGTGATTTTACAGGGTTAAAATTTGGTTCAGTAGAGCCTTATAATTAATTACTTTTTATTAACCATCTTAGTCAAAGAATTCTTCCAAAGTCAAACGTTAAAACTAATGAGACAAGCGAGATTGAACAATGGATTTACATGATTGCTATGCATTAATTACAATAAGAGACAGGGTCACTATCAATTTGTAGGTAATAACACAAAACACAGCTGCCTATGGTTCACTTTATAGTACCATAGACAAATAGAGTAAACATAGACCGTCAGCAGTGCTGCGGTTAGCTTAAGTTCTGGCGCCCACCGCTAGGAGTGCCATGTAGTTACGGTGCACACCGCTGCAGCGTCTGCTGGTAGCATACGGCTCCTGCGCTCTTTGCCTGCAGCGGTGTGCTCCGTCACTACAAGGCACTCCTAGCGGTGGGCGCTGGAACCTTCCTTTCCTTTGACAGTCTCTATTTATTCTATTTGTCTATGATAGTACTTAGGAAGGAGTGTCTCATTTGTCATAACCATTCGTTATAATTGTCATTAGTGGAATAACAGAGTAACAGAGTAACAGATTTAGGTGAGTCGGTGGCTCAGTCGGTATTGTCAAGGACTTGGGGCCCAAGGCAGTGATGTCATGAGTACGGATCCTGGTCACAGCCGGAAACATGTTATCAGTATAGTTCATCTTCATACTGTACCGGTTCACCCCTTCCTTTGCTGGATACGTTCCAAGCACGGTCAAATAGTCTATGTGTACTTGCAAATGTAAGGTTAAAACAAGCCGCTGACCTCTTTATTTTAAAAAAAGTATAAAGTTTACATGAACACTTTTTTGCTGCAAAAAATTACACCTTATAAATTTAACTTCCTTTTAATAATGCGTAGTAATTTAACATAAAATACCATGAATATTGGCTTCTATCCATCTTCATAGTAATGGCAATGTATCAAAATAAAAAAATTATGGTTTAAATACAATCCTGAGAAAAAAACTTCAAAATTACCGTACCAATTTTGTACCGAGAACCTATGTACTTAACAATGTACCATACCTAACCGTACCGACCTTCAATTTTCTGTTCCGTAGACCCCTAATTTTAAGATAAGTGAACCTTTGTAACCAACATGTTATTGTTTCTTGGAAATGTTATCTTTATGATGCTTGTAAGAACAATATTAATTTAATACTTCGACTTGCTGTTACAAGAAACCTCTTGTGGTTTACGTTCATGAACTCTCTGTGTGTAGGGTTTAGAATATTTATTGTTAAGCCATAGCATAGTGGAAATTTCTATTCAATTCAATTCATTTATCTACTGCATATAAATACAATATGATAACATAATTTAATACAAAATTAAGTTAAGCTATATTAAACCAAATTTATTACATAATACACTCCAATGATCTACACTACATAATACATAAGAGAATATTGGGCTAAAACATAAATAGAAAATCTTTATTCTTTCGCACTCGGCCTTCTTCTGTGAGTTACTATTTGTCTTGTGTTTCAGAACATTGATAGCAACACTTCACTGAGTGCTGCAGCTGGTTGGTCCTCACCATCTGTCTGTGACTTCAAAGTTTCAAATGGTACTCCATCATCAAACAAGAAAAAGGTAATCATACTCATCACATATTGTCTTTATCTTAAAAAAATACCCATTTACGAAAAATATGTACACTAAAACACTGACTTCACATTCTTGATAGTTTGTTGGATGTGATATCATAAGGTCATGTCACAATGCAGCCACTGAAAACCTCTGACGATAGTTATGTTGTATCGCAAATAAAATAATCAAAGATTTCATAAAACTATTGAATGTGGTGTAAAATTGTGTCTCCCCTCCTTTTTTGCTTTATTAGCACTGAATAGCTTATTTTATTATACCTTAAAACAAAACTAAAACTAGTGTTCTGTCGATATCCAAATTTATCGATTCTCGATATAGATGTCTGAAAAATAAACTCTCAATATTGATAACATGTTTTTTAATTAATTATGGATGTGCCGATTCATGATACTGATTCTGATTCACGTGGCCACACAGCATCCCTGGTTCCCCAACCAACAAGCACTGCTAACATCAAAAGCCTCACTTGAATAAATTCTGAATGACATTTTTATTTTTTTGGTACAGTGGAGTCCCGATAATCCGAACTTCAGTAATCCAAAAGTCCGCTTAATCCAAAACCAACAAATAATTTTTTTTAATTTTTTTTTACCAGTATGTGCTGTCACTTATTGGGGAAAGTCAAAACTACTAGCACCGTAGTGTGATGACATTAATGCAGTTTATTTTTTAGGAGTCTGCGGTACAGAAAATTTAAGGTCGGTACGGTTCGGTACGGTACAATATTTTGTACCTCGGTTCTCGGTACAAAATCGGTCCGGTACGCGGCTACCCGTATTTTTGCGGTTTTCTGCTCAGAACTGTATTTAAACCATTATTTGTAACTTTAATACATTGACATAGCTATGAAAATTGCCTACATTCATGGTTTTCTAACAACAATTACTGTACCACACATTATATTATACAAAATGTATCCATCTTATAACCACAGTTATAAGATGGATACAACTCTTGAAAAGTTTTTTGCTGAAACTAAAATTAAAACAAAACCTTTTACTACTACGAGGATTGTGTCAAGAAAAATCACAGTTAAGATAAAGGCTTTACCTATTTTACTCTGAGATACTTTGAATAACACTGAGATACTTCATCTGAGATACTTTGAATAGCCATGATAAAAGTGGTTTTAAAAATATGATAAGAGTTTTTAGGAGCAAACATGTTTGAAACATTTATTGACAAGATAATTTAACACAACTGGTATATTATTTCCAACCAACACAATGTCTAGTTGTTTAAAAAAAATTTTAAAACATATAGGCCTAAAAGCATGCAGTATGATGACAGTGTAGTTGCTGTTCACTAAAGGTTATGATGAAGTAATGGCAAAGAGCATATTTTTGTATCAGCTTCAAAACTAGTTATAAGATGGATACAACTCTTGAAAAGTTTTTTTTTCTGAAACTAAAATTTGGATTATCACAGAGTAAGATTATTGTCTTTTCATTTACAAAGTTAACATCCACAATATCAATCAAATCAATCATTAGTTTATCTTAGGCTCAATCCAATTTTCTTAGTATATTTTAAAGCTCTTCCAAAGAATCAAAAGACCCGGCCAGAACCTAATTATTTAGGAGGGCCTATATATAAATTGATTAGGTTACAATGAGGGTAGCAAAATCACTATCTAGTTCATAAGATTTAGATTGCATAAAGTACCTTCAACACAACACAAAAATACAGGAAACTAAAAAACATTTTAAGCCTTAAACAGCCACATCTAACAATATAAGACAAGATACAGAACATGTAATGACATAATTTGAGACCGAGTAGGCTTGAATAACGAAAACAAAAATTATGCAAACAACAACAACTATGCTTGTGGTTGTCAATAGAAAGATAAAATATCTATAACAAATATTTTAACTTATAAAATAAGATTGTAGATTAGTTACAAGTTTAATATGTAGCCATAAACAGTTTTATGGCAGTACGCAATGGCCAGCGGCAAATTGAATATGTTAATGGTTTGGAACTGCTAATGGGGTTTTTATTGCATCATCACCCTAGTAATAAATTATGAAGATCGTAAACAAACATCTGATAAGACTTTTATATGCTAGGAACCAACTGTCGTTGACTATGATAGTAAACTGAAAGTAATTTATTATTATAATTAGGCTGTACCGAACCGAATTTGTACCGTGTAAAATGCTGTACCGAACCGATGACGGTAATTAAGCTTGTACCGTACCGTACCGACTTTTTCGGTGCACCGCAGACCCCTAATTTTAGACACAAAAAGTTATGACCCAGTACGTGCTGTCACCCATTGGGAAAAGCCGAAACTGCGTGTAACGACTTGTTGTATAGAGTATTTTAGTAAATATTTTGTAATTTTTTAGTAAACATTTTTCATTTTTGTCCCGGATTCCAATCCCGCCAAATCACCAATAGACTTAATCTAATTCATAATGCCGCAACCCCTAGGTCTAGCCTAAAGTAATGTAAAAAACAATCCCGGACTCGTTCCCAACGTCCTAGGACAACAATATTTAAAAAAAGTTTTAATCCTAAATATTTAGTAATCCGAAATCCCAACCATTTCGGACTATCGGGTCTCTACTGTACCACATGAGTCAGCATTTCCCAATGTGGATGGTACACAAACTGATTCCATGATCTTTTTGTGAGTAAAAATCCATACCCCTTACTTGAGTATTTTACTCTACCTTTATATCTTACTTTATTTGTTGACTTATTAACGTTAAGTTTTTACCGGAAATTCAAGCAGTCTGTTAAATTATTTATACTTTAAGTCAAAAAAAGTACAAAAATAAAATGGTAATTTGTTCATACTGAACATGATTTCTGAATATTTTATAACTATAAAATTCACCAATAATTAGTTAACGTTATTGTATAAATGTATATTACTTGTATTATAAGGTATATTACTTGGAGCTTTTCAAACATGTCCATATAAATTGGGCTAAAAGTATGATTCTAAAGCTTAAAAGCTGTATCTATTTACTCCATTGATGGATTTAATGGATTAAAATTGAATGCATATTAAACTGTATAACTATCGGTGCATTCGTGCTAAGCGATAGGAACCCGATTAAGCGGGAGTAATCGGTGAATTCCTCAGTTCCCACAACTCTGCCCTGTACTCAGCCGTCTATTAAGAGTTGCTCCTGAAAAAAACTCATCCCTGATGCATAATACTAGCCTTTCTCTAATTAGACTATCTTCTTGCTCATTAAACTCACAGTAACTAGCTATTTTTTTCAGTTCTGTTAAAAAATGGTTCCCCTTCCATCTGTACCCTTTAAAAAAATAAGAATTGTTGGTACACTACATTAGTTTTTGGTGTAAAATGGTATCAAATGTGGCTGATACATTTTTCAACTTTAGTTTACCTATTTCCACTAGATTAAAAGTTTGGACGATTGATAATGCTTCAGCTACATTAAGCAACTGTGCTAATTTAACCTCCTCAGACTTGGTGTCTGATTCACTGGTTTTCAAATAGATTAAGAAAGAACTGTTATTTGAATATGGACCAATCCTGACCAACTGTTTCAGATATAATTTAGGGGATCTGGTGATCAGAAAAACAAAATTTTCCATAGTTATTCAACCACTTATCCAAATTAAGTTGTTTTATTTATTATTGGGATTTTAACATTCACTTGTATTCTTTGTCTATGACAGCGCCTATTTTAAGTAAATTAGCCTTTTGTAGAAAATAAAATGAGTTCCTTGTTTGATCCTTTTATCTAGGATACTAAAAAATTACCCAACATCTTAACATTAGATTCCATTTGATAAAAATGTTTTTGACTAGACCTGATTAACTTATTATTTGTGATCAATTAAATTCATGATAGAAAAAAGCTCGGCTCAATTGAAAAACGAAGGCTCACACACATCTACTAGTTAGAATGTTTCATTACTACATAAATTTGTCTTTACTTGAAAACACCCCATTTATTCAAACATACTTAATGGAAGGACATAAAGATAGGGGTTTGTGTAGTATAGCCATTCCAGTTAAAAAATTTGGCAAAACTAAAAAAATTGTATCGGAATCAATAATTGATTTTTCTGGAATCTATATCGGTATTGAGAGTTGGTCAATTTTGGTAATGACTCATAACTATTTTTAACCTTACCAAATGTTTATTTATTTTATTTTTTATTTATTTTCCAATAATCACATAACATCATATTCAGACAGGTGATTCGTCATTGTTACAATAATTTATAGTCTCTATACTAAAACTATTACTAAAATAAATTTCATATGCTGAACCTTAACATCTACACAGCTTCCATATATTCCTCCAATGAGAAGAAGCCCTTCTCCAAAAGAAAGTTTTTTAACTTCTTTTTGAATTTAGGGAATGAATCAGTGTCCCTAATTGAAGAAGGTAATTTGTTATATATTTTTTGACCCATGTACTGAGGAGATAAATGGAATACTTTAAGTCTGTGTTGAACTGGTTTTGTATTGTTTTTAAATCTAGTGTTATGAGGATGTTCATGTTGATCTTCCATGAATGTGTCAAAACCACTTTTAACCATTAAAGCCAGTTTAAAGATATAAGAACTATATAAAGTAAGAATTTTAAACTGAATGAAAAATTCTTTACTGTGAGTAATTCAAGACACTTTGGCTAAGACTCTAACTGCTCTTTTCTAGAGGATAAAAACTTTTTCGGCATTACTAGAAGAACCCCATACTGTTAAACCGTAATTAATGATGGAAGAAAAATAAGCGTGATATACTGCTAATTGTGTGTCTAAATTTGTAGTATGTCGAATTACCCGAAGAACAAGTATAGCTGATCTGAGTCTCTTTGATAGATTCTTAATGTTTGTTTGCCAATTAAGTTGCCAATCTATATCAATTCCCAGGTAATTGACCGAGTTTTGAGAAGTAGTTGTGTCTTTGACAAATTCATAGATAGACCATTTGCTGTGAACCAGTCCCCAAGGAGTTGAAACTCATTAGTAATTAAGTCTTG